CACCCTGTAGGGTCTGCATGCACCAACAGAGGTGTAAATCAAACCATTTTATAGCATCAAATAACTTATTAAGAAGAGACCTCTCAGAATGAGGAGATTATTTAAACTCAACTTTCACTATTTTTTATCTGATGAACAGTTGATTTCATAGTTTGACCCAGGTCCTAGGAGGCAGAGTTTGTAACCTATACTGTGGCCAGTCAGCAGAGGGAGCTCTACATCCTTTGGCTTCACTTGAGGCATGGTGTTCTGCTGTTCATTCTTTGTACAGTGTATGGTTTGTCTGTCTGTGTCTCTGTCAGTGTGTGTGTGTTTGTGTGTTAATCTGTGGTCAATATTGCACGTCCCTCTCGCTCTGTGTGTCTTACAATGTGCTTGTTGTGTAAAGGGGAGAGGTGAGGGGTCAACGTGTCAGCTGGAGTGTGTGTCTGGTATTTGGCACAGCTTTACCAAAGGAAGGAAGGTCACAAGTACACACACACACACACACACACACACACACACACACACACTTACAAACCAATATGCACACACAGAATTCACTAGACAGATCATCTCAGAAAGCTTTGGGGAGGAAATAAAGTTTTTCCTCTGAAGTGAACAGAGGATCATGCAGGAGTCATCCTCACCTGAGCCTGCAGTGACCTATGACCCCGGGCTCTCAGGGCAGTTTGATGGCTGCTTGTGTTCAAAATACAGGTTTCAACCAATTATCATGTGTATAATAAGTCAACCAACTTCATTTTCTCTTTGCATTTGCCTCTTAAGCTGCCTCTAGTGTCACTTTCATTTGGCTCAATGCAATCTAAGATATGCTCCCGCCAGAATAGAGGACAGATTGACTGATGGAATATGACAGGGGCCCTAATCCATACATTCTTTTAAATTCAATCTACCTCTAAGAACTAGTACATTTGTGTGGTTTTCTCAAGAAGTTGATTTATTTATCTCAATATCTTGGGATGACATGTTCATTTTTGGGGAAAGTTTTCAAGAAAACATTTAAATATACTATTTATTATAGGAAAACTGAGTTAAATAAAATGCATGGACAGATGTCCTCTTGGGGCATGAGTCACTTAATTGATTATATCTAATCTAACAATATTTTTTTATTATTTCATGTTGGATTTATGAGCATTATTCTTTAACTCTGCAAACTTGAACCATACAATTTTGTTGACCAGTGACTCTCTGTGACTGTGCTCAGTTTACTGTCATTAAATCTGTTTTAGCTCTATCTAGTGGACAACAAGGGAACTACAGCAGTACAGACACCGCTTAAAAACATTGATGTTGTGTTTTTAGTGTATCTCATTTTAGAGTGTGACAGTCAGCTCTAGTGTTTTCTTTCAGGTGGTGATAAGATCTGAATGTTTGGTCAGTTGAGGGTTTTTTATGGGCTGAGTGGGCTGCAGCAGCAGTTCTTGACCTTTGCCATGCTAAGGACCCCCATATAGCATCAGCCTCTTGTGAGGTACCCACTCTTGCAAAACTTCTTAAAAGTTAAAATGTTATTTTCACAAATAATGTTGTGAATTGATTTTTTTATTTCTTCCACTTCCTACCCTGTTCCTCCAAGTTTCAGCGACCTCCCTGGTGACTCTGGCAGTCCCTGTAGTCATAGTTAAAAAAATAACTGTTACATTATGAAAGATTATCTTTAGTATTTGAACTGATCGGATCAGTTTGAGTCCCTTTATTAATGTTCTGCCGTCAGTGTCTTGAATATTGTCGTTTTTAATTCCGCTCCTCTGTCAGTAGTGATGCCTGTACAGACTACTGTAATCTGTAGCTACAGCTTCGATTCTAACCGCCCTCACGTGTCTGTGAGTCCTGTTTCCTCTCTTAATGCCGTCTAATAATTGGCCTGCTGCATTAACATCAAAGGGCTGCAGCCATCTGTGAGCGCTTATAAGAAACACTGATGGAGCAGGAAGAGGGTGAAGAAAGAAAGTAAAGAGAGACTTTTACCCTCTTTCTGTTTTTCTACCTTGTCTAGTTTCATATTTGCCACTCCTCGTCTCAAGAGGAGTTTTCACTGCCTGGGCTGTGTGAGTGTGTACCTCTGTGGCCCTGTGTGTTATTTTTGAGGGTGTGTTTTTGTCGTGATTGCGGTCCTCCAGGCAGGAAGGGCCCCGGCTGCAGATGTGAGCCGGGGAAGGCAGCAGGGAACAGAGCGGCACATTGTGCTGGGTGTGCTGGGGGAGCTCGGGCTGCAATCTGATCCAGTATCCTGCCATCACAGAACCACGCTGTCTACTGTCACTGCCTGACCCCCCCAGACACACACACACACACACACACACACACACACACACACACACACACACACACACACACACACACACACACACACACACGCACCTTTCCTCCTTTCATAACTCTACATCTCTTTCTTTCTCTCTCATTCCCAACATTCCTGTGCTGACCTGTAAAAGTCTGAGGACATTCTTCATTCCCTGGATGATATTTTGAGAGTTATAGAAGTTATACAATTCCACAAAAAGTCTGAAAAAGAATCCTTGTTATTTCTTACTCCCTTTCTTTTGAATGTTTTAACATGTTATGGTCCAACTTACTTTTAAAAACCCACCAATCTAGACAAGACGTAGAGGTCTGGATCCTCTTCAATAATTGCTCTCTCTCTCTTTATTCTCCTCTCCGTGTGTCTTTGTTACTCCCCTCTGTTCATTTCCACTTTCATGTTTTTAAGTGAAGTTCATGTTTTTGATGGTTGATGTAGCATCACAATAGCACTCAATCTAACTCCTATTCCCCTCCTTCTCACCAACTTATTTTACATCCTTCTCTTCTTCACCTCCTCCTCCTTGTCTTTCTCTCTCTGGTGTAGAGTGACGTTAATGGACTGTGGTCTGGACACCCTGAGGCAATATCAACGCACAATTTGCTCTGTCTGGATAAATATTACCATCTGTGGGCCTGTTCGACTAACTGTTAACTCTGAGACGCTGGGTGTCACCTAAACACAAGCACCACACAAAGAGAGTTCACATTAGAGGCCAGTGTAAAGGGTCACAAGTGGTAACACATTAAGGATGGCTTTATGATGTTACAGTGTTGTCGGGTTTATAGGCTGTCTGATAGAAAGCTGTGCATCAGGTTAAGATTCAATGTCATTCTTCAATGAGTTAAAAAATGAAATAATTTTCAGAAGTTTCATGATTATTAATGTTATCCTGCGGTCTGGTGTATTGCTGACACACTACTGTAGAAAACCTGTGGTGAATAAGTTACACCCTCGCTGGCTTTGCATCCTAACTTGCATCCTCACAGCTTTTTGCAGAGCATGTCATATGTTTAGCAAACTGTCACGCACCGTGTGCATTTCAAATTTCTTTCATGAATTTTTCATTTATTCTTAAATATGATGAATTTGATAATAATAACAAAGATCTAACTTCATAAGCTGCATAACTGGAGGGCTTGGTTGTTATCTTCCATCATTTGCAAAAGTAGTTTTGCTATAGATAATGCATCACTGCCACCATAAGTTTATTATGAGAAGTGCAAGAGCAGGGCTGGCTGTAAATTCATTAAACAACACAGTTTGCTCAAAGACAGGGAGGCAAGCCAAATTGAACACCTACTATGGGAAACAAATAATAATAATACACTTTATTTATATACTGTAGCACTTATCTCAACAAAGAAAAATAAAAGCAAGGCAGAGAAAAAGGAAATGAAATAATAAATGATTAAAAAAGACAGAAGATAAACTTAAGACTTCATAAAAGCCTTCCTATATAAGAAAGTTTTAAGAGAGGGTTTAAAAGAAGCTGAAGATTGTGCTTGGCAGAGAAAGCCACAGTCTGTGAGCTCTGACTGCAAACATCAGGTCAACAACCAGCAGAGATACAGAGCTGCATTCACCGATCAAGTGAACGACCAGGCACATAGGGGGGTTAAAGAACTGTAATATATATTAAGGGGTCAGGCCTTTAAAGCTTTACAAGTAATCAATAAAATTGTCAAATTAATTTGATAAAAAAGTGTCTGTCATGAATGTCAAACTTCCTGTAAATTATGTTTGAGATTATTACTTTTTAGATGATTTTTTTCATTCGACTTCAGAAGCAGAAAAGAGGGGAACTTTATGCAGGGAAATTAATGTTGACATAAAGAGCTTTGCTTTACATACCGGTATAAGGTTTTTGACATGAAGGAAATCAAACCTCACATTCAGTGGAGCTGGTTTTCATACTGAAATACAGAGGCTGACACAGTTCCTTTGAGCACTGTGAGAAACCACAGAGCAGACTGAGGGTGGAGAAACACTCTGGTTGACCTCAGCGTGTGAAAGTGGAGACAGGATTTGAGTAGTGTACATCTGGAGTCAGCTGTGTGTTTTTTGTCAGGTGTGTCTGTGAAATGCTTGGGTATCCCATAGACAAATATTCATTGACTCAGCACTATCACATCAACAGCCACTTGTTGCAGCTGCTTGATAAATGTGAGCAGAATAGAGTACACTGTCTCTCCACTGTGATTTGAACTGAGCCTTACTGTACCTGCCCTGCAGTAGTTCCTACTTATGACTCGGACTGTTGCCAGTTTGCTCTGACACAGTGCTTCCTTTCTTCCATTATGCCTAAAAGTACAGTAGGAGCCATTGTGGCCATCCCCTGTACCTGCATCACATTAGTGCTGCAAGAGCCTGCAGGATGATGGTCCTTCTGGAAATCTGTACGGATCTATTGAAGACTGCTGTGTATTAAACAAATATTCATCTTAATCTGCTGTATGCAAAATACACTGGCTTTGTCTTTAACATATAAAGCAGTGTTGCAGCAAGGACTATATCAAGTATCTTCTATTTCCAGTTTTTGAAAGCACCCCAGATCAGCTTTATTTGCAAAGTGTTGAGATTTACGAGTGTAACGTTTCAGGATTTCAGAGGACATTTAACAAGTTTGCTTTTTGAATTAAGCCAGCTGTTATATTCAACAACCATTTTCTTCTCTCCCTCCTTTCTCTAGACCCAGTGGATGTGTTGCGGGCTCTGCAGGTTCCCTCTCTCCCTGAGGGTGTGAAGAAAGTCCCTGGCTTCTGCACCTCCCGTCGATCCAGCAGCCCTGATCATGCTTACCGCATCAGCAAGAAGGCCCAGATCTCCGCCCCCACCAAGCAGCTCTTCTCAGGTAGGATACAAACAATTTTAAAGATTACAGATACAACATTTATTTTAACCACTATCATAATAAATTGGGCTGTAAGTAAAGTATGTGACTCTTCTGTCCTATGAGTTTCATCATTAATATCCAAATGCAAATTCTTCTTTATTGACATTGCCATGAATACAGAAGTTTACACTTTGTGAACAGTTTAATTGTCAGTATTTTGTAGGAACAGAAAGAAGTAGGATAAGCCTTTTACTTCATAGGACTCTACGATTAGAAAAACAAGCTTTCAAAGTGATGTGCTGAGATCTATCTAATTATACTAACTGTTGATAAAACAGGTCTGAATTAAGTCTTAATTTTTATTTTATTTATTTTATCCTACTTTTTAAAATATAATAAAACGTAGTCCTGTCTATTAGAATATTTCTCTAATTTTAATGAACTATTTTTGTCAGTATTTTATCCCACAATGCAAAAAATAAAATAAAAAACTAATTTGCGGTCACTGATTGGCGTTAATTTACTGCAGTGGTTTCCATAGCAACAACATCACCGGCAACCGCTACCTGCTAAGCTAACCGTTAAAATAAGTAACAAGTGAGCTAAACTTCCTACGGCCTTTTAGAAAAAGAAGATAAAATGGATTAAAGACACATTGAAGGCCACATATGTGGCTATACATTTAGTAGTGCACTAAAAGTTGCCCTGATATAGTGAGTATGCGAAAATGATTCGTTTTGTGTGATAATTATCTGTTTTCCGCTAACTCTTAGCATTAGCATTAATACCGGTAACTAATCTCGCGAGAATATCACGAGATTTGCTAAGTTATCAAAGTTACTCTTTCCAAATGCAGTGAAACGTCATGTTCTCTACGATATTACAATATAACAACACTTTAAAACGTATTTATTGTTTCAAGTGTATTTTAAAACAGGGGTGAAAACAAAAATAAAGGCAGCTGTGTATGTTTCACAACAAATGATAAGCTTAATTCACATTTTAACATATTTGCTGTGAATTTAAGAAACATTCAGAAACCTACAACTAGAGTTTCAGGTTTTTATGAGTGCTTTGGGTGTATTTTTAACTGAGCTTTCTGAAGTAAAGTGAGACAATTTGTGCCCTTTTCTCGTTTGCTCAGTGTTATAGAGTATGATTATGTGTTGCTGTGCTACAGTTGGGTAATTAAACTTTGGGAGAGCCATAACAAATTAACTTTAGCACACTGCCTGACACCCTGGAATAAGGAGAGAAAGGAAAAAACAGCACTTATGTGGTTGTGAATAAATCCTCAAAAGTCAAAGCATGTTTTCATCTAATCTTCTGAGGTTTAGTTTCCCTCCTTCAGCTCTAACCACCTGTTATTATGTGTCCTTATTATCTATGCTAGATTCACCCGAGACTGTATTCTGCAATTCTGTAATTAGTTGATCCTGACACTGATATATGACTTAAATCCCCTAAAACTCTAGTGTGCACCACTTGTTCCTATTTGAAACTTATTTATCTGTTTCTTTTTCTTTTTCCAAGTTTATCTCCTTCTACTTCCTCCCATCTTTTCCATAAAAATATACAAAATTAGATGCTCTGCTCTGGTGTAAGGTAAGGAGGTAAACACTGTGCCACTTTCTCCTCATCCTCCCTTCCTAAAATAGCCCAAATCTAGTCATAACAATTGTTTATCATAACAATTTACTACTATACTGTATATCCTGCTCCTATCCTCTCTCATTGTTTCTCTACTCACATTTCTGCCTTCCTTCACAACAGGTCGATTCCCGGAGAACTTCTCCATCATGGCTCTGGTTAAGGCCCAGGCCGGTCTCCAGGCATTCCTCCTCTCCATCTACAGCGAGCAGGGCATTCAACAGCTGGGCATTGAAATGGGACGCTCGCCAGTTTTCCTGTACGAGGACCAAAATGGCAAACCCGCCCCTGAGGACTACCCACTCTTCAGAGGTGTCAACCTGGCTGATGGCAAGTCAGTAACCAGCAACAACCAGTTTGTGAATGGTTGAGATGGCACAGTTGGGGTCATGTGGGTGTGAGTGGCTGGCAAAAAGGATGTGTGTGAATGTTGTTTGGGATGTTTATGAGCGACGAGGATTGTTTTAACAACATTTTAGGCCTGTTGTCACATTACACATTTATTTGCCTCCCGCTCCTCTTCCTTGCCTCTAGGTGGCATCGCATCGCTCTTTCTGTTTCAAAGAAAAATGTGACACTGCTTTTGGACTGCAAAAAGAAAATGACCCGCCCCCTGCCTCGGGGCAACAACGCTGAGATCGACACCAATGGCATCACAGTGTTCGGAGCTCGTCTGCTTGACGAGGAGGTTTTCCAGGTGAGCAGCTTAGCTTTATAGGCAAACTGTGAAGTTATTAATATGTGCAGCTCTTTATTGATGGAGTTACTTTGAGTACCCTCTGATGTGTCAATTAATATGCTTTTAAATGTAGAGCATATTAATACTTCAAATACTTAATAGATAATGCAGCTCTACAGGTTCCTTCTAATCCACATGTTTTTACTCACAGGGAGACATCCAGCAACTGCTCATTGCCTCAAACCCCCAGGCTGCTTATGACTTCTGTGAACACTACAGCCCTGACTGTGATTCCCCCCTTCCCAAGACTCAGGCTCAGGACCCCAACACATACGTGAGTTGACACCACCTTAACACGAGACATATGAAATCAACACTTTCTTCTTCTTATATGTGAAAAGGTGATCAAATAATAACATACTCAGTGAATATATATGTCTCTAAAACCTACCTGCAGGCTACAGTAACTTCCCTTGTACTTCCCTCACACTCTTTGGTCTCTTAAAAAGGTTACTGTATGATGAGGTTTTTGTTTTTTTCACACAAAGCAAATACATGGCTACACATAAATGCAACAGCACCCACAAGACTACTGATGAATATCCATTACAGAGTGGAAATCCTCAGATTTAGCACAATGCTAACACAACCGACTCATGAACATTCATCTCTAGCTCTGATAAAGCAGGCCCAAACAGAAACTGTGGACTTTTTTTCTCGATTCTACGGTAAAGGAGAAAAAAGACAAATATTAAAATAATCCCTACGTTTGAACATTTGAACAGTCAAAAAAAAAGTAATGCATCCACTGTTTTTTCCTAGGAATACTTTTTGATGCCAGGAAATAGAGAGAAATAATATAAATGTAGAAAAAGGCAGTCACTTTAAAAAATGATTTCAAAATGAACCAAAGTATTGAAGAGTGATTTCTCTTTTCTAATTGATAGTCTTGTGTGTCATACTTTGAAGGAGATTGGAAATTCATTGAAGCATATTTTTTACAAGTATAGAAGATATAGAGGGTTTCAACTAGCTTTAATAAAGTCTGTCACTTAACAGATACGTCTGGGTCAGTTAGAAGTGTTACTACGACTCTAATCTTGTGCACTAGCATTGTGACCCAGTTTTTAGCGCTGACCTTCATATTCCTACTACCTGGAATTTGCCATTTTTCTTCCTGTGTTTGCACAAGGAGGATATAAAATTAACAAATGTTGTATCATTTGATTTGTAATGAGAAGGCTACTAAAAAAAAAGTAAAAAAGAAGGCAACACAAAACACAAGTCATCTGTAAATGAAAAAAAAAGTCCTCAGTTTCATTTTGGTTTGTCTGACATTGTCATCAAAGTGCTGCTCTCCCTTTCTGTCTTCCTAACGCACCCCAGTCATCAGCAAGAGTTTGTATCCATCCACTTTCCTCCTCACCTTCTCAGTCTGTGTGTCCCATGGGTGACCAAAGAAAAGAAGAAGTATTCTCGTATTGTACCTTTCCATAACTACACCTCTAAATGAGTACATTTCCATCATTTCAAACGCTGTTGTTAGTGAAAATAAGCTTCTTTAGTTACAGCTGTGGGTTAGTTGTCATCTTTTTTCTGCTCTGCTGCAATGAAGCACAGAAAGGTAGGGGAAAGAGGATGATACAAGCCGATGTCTTCCCCACACTGTTTTCCATGGACTGAAGGAAAGAGAAATTCTTCAGGACATAAGAGTTACATTTAATTGGTTAAATTGAGAACTTAAAGGATTTGGCATGAAGATGGCTTAAGGTGGAGCCTCTTTACTTACTGAGACTGGTTGTTTACATTACATACATTCAAAGCTTTGCAAGTTCTCCCTCTGATATTTGGGAGCTAATAGTGTCCTACCCTCAGAGCTAAAGTTGCAAGGGATTTTCATCCGCATTCATCCATCTAAAGTACATGAGGTTTGTTTAATCAGCCTGCATGCTGGATCAGTCAATACATACAGTATACTATCAGTCACTGTACCAGCTCCAACACTTTGCGTTCCAAACTCTGTCATGCTCTTGAAACGACTGCTTTCTGAATGAATATAAATCAGTAGGTTTTATTCATCTGCTTCACACACTGCTTTAATGTTTGCTGTTTTCTCATTCATCAAGGTTGTTTGTGTATGAACAAGAAGAAGCAGCACACAGTCCTGATGAATGAAAAATAAAAAGCTTTGCATTTTATTGATATCTGAATTGCTGTCTCTTGCTCTCTCTATCACCTCATCACCCCTTATCTTTACGTATTCCTCCTTCCCCTCTGCTTCCCCATTATTCATCCTTCTTGAAATCACCCCTTCCTCATGCATTCCCCCTTTCCATTCCTCTTGCTTTCATGTATTTTCACCCCCTCTGCAAACCCAAACCTCCAACCATCCTACTATCTTCAAATCTTTCAATCGCCCGATCTCTCTCAGTACTTTGATGAGGAGCAGGATGACCATGAATACCCCTATTATTATGAGGAAACAACAGGCGTTCTTTCCTCCGCATACCCCTCTCACCAACCTGAGGCCCCCAGTCAACAGGTAAAAAGGCACAAGAGAGGTGGAAAACACGGGCAGGGTTTGTTGAAAGGAAGGAGAATGAGAGCGAGAGAGGTATTAATCAATAATAGAAGCATTACTGTTTGTATAGCTTGATATTTCAGTGTATAAAATATCAGCATTCTCAAAGATAACATTTTTAATCAACATCATTTTCCCTTGTGGTCCTTCAAATGCCTCTCTCATTCCTCATCACTTCATACCTGCTTTGTTTTTATGTGTTACCATGTCCTTAAAACACATTGACCTCTCACACGTTCACTTTATCCCAAACCATCTCCGTCAGGCACAATTACCTTTGTGCCATATTAAGTTTTGTTCTCATGTCATTTACATGTTGTCATTTGTGTATGTGTGTTCAAATGTGGCCAAGTGGGGGCACTGTGGTTGTGTAGGTGCAGCTGTGCTGTTAAACACATTCGCACAATTTTTCCACACAAAATTCTCCAGCAAGTTCCCCATTTATTTCACCCTTTCTTCTTAGGTACCATTCCTGTTCACCCATAAACTGAACTTTTTTTTTTTTTTTTTATGGATAAAAATAAGTGAGGTGCACTTTAAAACAGAAACCTATAGCCTTACATTAGGAATATGCAAATCATTTATCTAGAGAAAGGTTTCTAAATGTCAATTCTGATTTAATTTGTGGATCTGCTGACATTACCATTTGCAAATAATGGTTTACATGATTGACTTTTTTTGTCTTTCATGTCAAGCAGAGCTCATAGTATGCAAAAAATACAAATTAGCAGGACAAAAGCAGTCTTTTATTACGATTGTCTTGGTCAAATAGTCTTTGTAAATTCCTTTTTTTTTGTGTTGAAGGTTACATTTATTTCCAAGTTCTTTTCTGTCTTAAAATGTTATGGTGCCCCCTCATTACAGTCTTTGATACATAATCCCAGCCATCAGTCATCACAGTTTATCATGAAAAATACAGATTTGTAATAGTGTTTGACCAGGGCATGGGTCTGTACTGTCTTGTTATTGCATGATGTCGTAATTGTCTTGGTTAATGCGCATGATGTCAATGCATGCACCCACTGCACTTCTGTGTCAACAGTTTCCATAGCAATTGTAAATTCAACACGGGAATATCTGTGCACATGTTTTTCTAGGTTTAAGCATCCATGGTTTAACATGTGACCTTTGTATGACACACTTTATAGTCATGCAACACTCCTCATTAGAGATGGACGGTGCTCTGTTTTACATATTTGAGGACGTCACATTCAGGCTTATGGACTTTTTCAAATTGTTTTGTGACTTTGTTTTTGCTGTTATTTTGCATGTATTTTTGTTATAGAAGCTTAGGTTGAAAGATTTAAGCATGAACTGTTGTTCTCATATTGTGGGTTTATGTAACTCTGTATGCATTTGCATGCTAGCCTGGCATCCACACACTTTCTTTTGCATGGCTCAACATCACTCACCTTCTCTGTCTTGTATTTGGCCTACCCAGTGCATTATAAACAGTGTGTATGTGAAATGAGCACAGGAGGTATAAGCCTCAGTGATGTGTGTGTTTCTTCATGTGTCTGTTTGCTAGTGTGTGTGTGTGTGTGTTTGTACAGTGTGTGTTTTAAGCTCCAGCTTCACCTGACCAATTACAGCCTCAGTGCCTCTGCCAAACCACAGGCTGCCAGTTCATATTAGCACAAAGATGCTGCTTTGTCATTTAATATTGGGAATGGCATTACTGGAGAGATCAGCAAAACAAATCTAAAATAAGTTGGGCCACAGACATGAAATTTGTCAAGATTTGATTTGTTTTAGTGGTTGTAATTTTGTTGTTGTATTTTTTGCTAACTTTTCTAAAAATCATCTGCTGTATCCAGTAATGCCTGTGCAGTCTCAGTAAATCATCCAATCCTTAGCCATCTCTATGTCATTGTTTCTCAAAACATCCACTCTTGTCTTTCTCTCTCCTTCTGTCCATCCCTTGTTTGTGCTTTTTATCCCCCCCCAACCCTTCTTTGTATCATTGTCTTTCTCAACTCTCTGTCTTTGTCAATATGCACTTTTACATACTAAACTACATCTCAACCAAACAATAATCATGGATATTAGAAGAAGGGACCAAATGGAAAAGCAGCCCCTACAAAAGCTACCCCTCTCAAAGTGAAACCCACTCCAGCTAAGCCAGCCAAGACTGGACCATCCAAACTTGTTGTCAAGTCGCCTATGCCCACCAAAGCTCCCAAGCCTTCCTCAGCCAAGCCAACGAAAGTAAAGCCTACTGCAGTAGAGATCCTCTTGTCTAAGATCAAACCAACAGCAGCAGCTAAATCAGAGCCTAAAGCTGCCCCAGCTAAGAATGGCAAACCAGTTGTTGAGAAGAAAGCCAATGGTGCCACTAAAGCCAATGGTAACGGCAATGGAAAAGCAGCTGCAGCGAAAGCGAATGGCAATGGCAAAGCTACAGCCGAAGCAAAGCCCACAGCACAGGCCAAAGTGAATGGAAATGGAAATGGCAAGGTTGTAGCTGAAAAGAAAGTCAATGGTAATGGAAATGGGGCTACAGTGCAGGCCAAAGTGAATGGAAATGGAAACGGCAAGGTCGTAGCTGAGAAGAAAGTAATTGGTAATGGAAACGGGGCTACAGTGCAGGCCAAAGTGAATGGAAATGGCAAAGTTGTAGCTGAGAAGATTGTCATTGCTAGTGGAAAATCCTCAGCATCAAAGAAGGCCAATGAAAATGGAAAAGCCACTGTTGTGTCCAAAACCAATGGCAAAGCTACAGCAGAGAAGAAAGTCAATGGAAATGGAAAAACTACCATCGAGGTTAAAGAAATTACAGTAAAAGTTAATGGCAAAGCTGAGAATAAGGTTAATGGTGAGGCTAAGGCTAACGGCAAAGTGATTACTGTGGTAGAAAAAAAAGTTGTTAGTAATGGTGCCGCAAAAACTGAAACCACTACAAAAGCAAAGACTGAAAAAGTTGTTAAAGTAGAAAAGATAGAAAAGACTGTGGTCAGTGCAGCTAAATCAGCTGCCAAAGTAGAGGCTACTAAGGCACCTAAACCCACAAAAGCTACAAAAGCTGAACCTACAAAAGCAGCCAAGGTTGTGGCCACCAAAGCTTCAGCAGCAAAAACTCAAGAAAAGGCAGAGGTGAAAGAGGTTGTCAAAGTCAAAACTGTGGTCACCAAAGTCCCTCTGGTCAAACCGACAGTGAGCAAAGTAGTGAAGACTGTTGTTGAAAAGGTGAACATCCCCAAGAAAGCAGCTCCAACATCTGCCCCTGTTCGGCCAACTCCACCCAGGCCCACAAAATCCAAGATGGTGGACATGAATGTCAAATCCCTGCACAAACCTTTCCCACCTTTTGGCGAGGCTGTGCTGGGTGGAACTGCAGTCCAAGCGAAGAAAGTTACCAACGGTTATCAACAGGTACAACAGGAGAGCTCATGTTTAGCTCGGAAGGTCCAGAGTCGTATGTCCCATTAGTCCCATTTGATCGCCAGGTCTTTCCGCCCTCCAGGGTCTGCAGCAAAAAAGAAATTGAAATCAACCTTTTTTCATTTTCTTATGAACAGTTTTATCTTGAAATACATAACTGACAGTGAACATTTTGAGGTAAATCCTTGATGGTGGAAAATCTGGTCTTCAAACTGGAAGTTGGTCCATACCAAGCTGGGTGCCTTTTCCTCTGTTTGTATATCATATGACCTTCGAGATCACTCCAGCTTCTTCATATGATATGACACAGCAGTGCACACTGAAGCATGGCTAATATGACAGTTTCATTGTTCTTTACTTTACTTTATATTCCTACCTTCAGGCTGCTCAAACTGGATCTCAGAACCTGAATATATTTCAGCCCCCGTCTCTTTCTTTCCGGGAGAATCCATTAATGTACCAGTCAGATGAATGAGCATGGATTGCTATGGCACAAAAGCTAAACTTGATGAAACACAATTACTATCACATCCTGGAGACACACAACACAACAAATCTCTCCTGTCACTCTGTCATTCTCTCTGTTTGTCTTTGGAATCACCTGTGTTTTCTCTTGTTTCTTTGCTTCTGGGTATATTTGTGTCAAACATGAATAAAGCAGTCTCACAGAAACTAAAAAGTATGCTTTAAGTGTGCTGTGGTTAGATGATACATTTTTACAAAAAGAGTTATCTACTATGAAGCTGACATGCTTCAATGTAGAGCCAAATTGTATGAGCAATATCATTAATTGGTTCTGAAAAATGTAAAGCATACGTTCATTGTTACATAGTAGTCGTGTTCTGTGAGGCTGTCTACAGGGGTTGTCTTTTTGTTTTCTGGACTTGGTGGAAACTAGACATCCCAAAGAGAAAAATCATGTATTTTTTTCATTGTATGGGATGGCTAGAGGCCCCTCAGTCCTTCTTCCATTAAGAGCAAACTTCAACCTCGGGGAACCTTGGTTTTGTGAGCTTTAAAATGCAAAAGAAATGTTCACCAAAACAAAAAAAAGAAATCTCAGCAAAGTAGTCTCAATGACTCCCTAAATCTTGCACGTGGCAATATTTATAGTTATTAAGAGACTGACTGAAATTTCTTTTTGAAGATGGATCTACACAACTCTGAAAATGTGAGTTGCCAGTAAAATACCTTTGTCTCTGGCAACCGCAGTTTTATGATGTGTTCCATTTTCTTCTTTTAACTCGTCATCACTCACAAGCAGACTTTGATCTAACCACGTTCTTCCAATCAAATCTGCTTACTTCCTTCCTGCTCCCCAATTCCTGTCAACTTGACCAATCAGGACGTAGACACTGAGTATTCCGAGGCTGGCCACACCCCTACAGAGACTGATTATAACTATGAGGAGATGGCTCCACTGCCAGAGGGTGAGGTGTTTGGACAAGAAGAGACTCCTGTACAGGTAAAAAGGAAGTTACACGCTGATCAGTGACACACACCAAGAAGATAAAATAGACTAAGCAAACAGACATAATGTTTTATATCCTTCAAATCTGCAAAAATATTTGCTTATTTTTTACAACCAAATATAAACACAAAGATAGAAGTTAGCACACAGTGAAGAAGAAGCTAACTTCAACTCAATAGGAAGACTTCCATCCAGAAAGGAAGAGGAGTGAATACCTGTGTGGTGGTGAGCCCAGTCTTTGTAGTTTAACCTAGTAGTTATAACACTGTGTCCCTCCTTTCCTAACCACACATCAATGTTTTGGCACCGATGCCACATGAAATGCTTTTTTTTTTTTCAAATAAGAATGCACCACATTCATCTGCTAGTATCACCAAACATTTTTATGTGGCTCCCCTTTTCTCTAACAACAAGATGTACTGTTTTGTTCTCATCTCAAGATCCATGGTTGATCAGGTTGGGGTCTTGACATAAGAGCAAAGATCTTGTGAAAAGGGGATATGCATAGAGATATTTGAGATGCAGTTTTAACCACAGCCACCAAGGGAGATGAATATAATGCATTCTTGTTTGTGTGAAAAACCAAACTGAACTAAAGAATACAGACGTTACTGTGGCGAACTTTCCAGCCCTAAACTATCAGATGTTGGGAATCACTTTCTCACATGTCTGATCTGTTTCTCACAGTTCATTTAGTTCACATTCATAATGTCTTTATCACTGTTTCATCTATACAGGCTTACTTTCATGATGTTTTTTATGATTAGAATGTTTTTGTTAATGTGCTTTAAATGAAGTCACTTTTTAAACTACAGATTCTTTATATGAGGAAACTGTACGGCATAATGTCACTGGATTCACATTTTTAAAACGCCCATGGTAAGTAGAATATAAATAACATAGTTTTTGCTTTGCACATCGCAGCAGCAGCTTGTTTCCACAAAGTTCCTCATTTCAGTTCTGTGTGTTTAGAGACAATGCAAGGTCGACCTTGACAACAACAGATTTTTTTCTCTCTCTCTGTCAGTGTCGGGAAAATATATTTAGGCCAATTTGGAGAAAGCGTTTTGTTAATGTTCTCACACACAAGCTGATGATGATATCCTTTGTGGAAACATCATTATAAGCTCAGCAATAAGTGATTAACAAGAGAGTTAAGAACACAGAATCAAGCTGGAACAGTGTCGTCAATCAGACAGATGTTTGAGCACGAGGGACTGATAGAGTCTCCTGAGTCTACGAGATGTCTTTTGTTTTTGTCCCTATGTCACTGTTTATTTCCAAGAGGTAAGACTCATTTTTTTCTATATATGCCCCCTTACCCCACCCCCATTTCATTCTATAATTCTCTTTCCTTTACTAACATTTCTCCATCAAACATATCTCTCTCGTCCTTTCCCCGTTCCTTCTTTCTCTTGCACCTTTATTTTCCTCTCCTGGATTCATCCTCTCTCTCTCTCTCTCTCTCTCTCTCTCTCTCTATCTATCTATCTATCTATCTGTCTATCTATCTATCTATCTATCTCTCTCTCTATCTCTCTATCTATCTATCTATCTATCTATCTATCCATCTATCTATCCATCTATCCATCCCATTTTGGCTCTGATAAACCCAACCCAGCCTCAGGTGGAGTCCTCATTGGTGGGAGAGGAGGTAGATGCCACCAAGGCAGGCGGTGTGGGCGAGGAGGCCTTCACTGAGGAGTATGTGACTGGGGACGTGGGCCTTAAGGAATACGACTATTCCTACAGGGACTACAATGAGCCATTAATGGAAACTGGAGAGGTCAATGCCAACATGGGCCCCGCCCTGTCCGCTGTGACAGACGAGGGAGGCGTAAGTTTTGCTTTAGAGGCAAACAAAACTAAATCATTTTCAACCATATTATGGTCAAATCATATTCAATCCCCTCTCAATGATGTGTTTGAGTTTGCCATCTCAATATATACAGTTCTTTGAAGACCTTCAAAATAGAACCATCAGTCTACCTGTGTATAACAGTAATATAACTTGGTTGTTAAGACCTAAGGCTGTGTTTTTGTTACCCAAATCCAAGATTGTCAAATGAACACAATTCCTAAAACTCCAACCATATCCAGTCCCATTTTAGAGCCAATAAATCAGCATTCTTTCTTGGTTTTTCAGACTATCAATCCTTTGCAAAACAGAAGACTAAGTATTTATCAAAGTTCAAGCGTAATGTTCTGAACAAGTAAGTCCAAATTGTTAGCATGCTTTCTGTAAATTACACACTAGTTGCACACTAGGTAGTTGCAATTTTTACTACAAGACAAAGGTATTGTTTCCCACTTAAAGTTGATGTATGAAAATTCAAAATGGCCACCATGCATGTAAGGTCTACATGCAGATTAAATTGTATGCTTGGCAAGCTCAATCAATCACAGAGAAACCGGTTTTTGAATGCATTTTGAATATTGTAAGGTCTCAAACATGTAAGTGGTTGAAATTGGTTTTATTCTGTACAGTGATTAGCAAACTCAGGACCCCAAGAATTAAAGCCATCATCATGGTAGAAGCTGTTGGGGATCCTAAGAAACTTGTAGTATAACCTAAGCTATCACATACACTGCACAAAGAAGCATTTGGAAGTGCAGCAGTAACCGATTGCTGCATCTTCTGTCTTAAATGCAATTCATCTCAGTGTATGGCTTCATGTAGAGCTGCACAGCCCAAATCATTCTTTGTAGCTTTGCAACATTTTGACAAGCAATGGACCAAAGTCTGGATCAAATCTTGTGCCTTTATCAAAAGCAAATCAGGTTTTCATCATTAAGTTTTGTACACTTAAATGATAGTTTTTGATATAATGCATCAAACCAATGTGGGTGTATTTATGTGAGTTTATATCTACCTTTTGTCGAGTGAATGCAGACATCAGTGTCGGTCATACGCTCTCTCTGAGCGTGTTTTTTGTTCTGTTTTTTTTGTTTCACATGCATGTGTCTGAGTTTGATTCTGTACTGACTACGCTGTGTTGTTGGCTACATGTGTGTTTTCCTCAGGCTGCAGTCAGAGCCCAGAAAGGAGAGAAAGGAGAACCTGCTGTCTTGGAGCCTGTGAGTTAAACATTTTCTTTCCTTGTGCACATCTAAAGCAGATGTACAGAGAAGGGTTGACAGGTCATCCATGTCATGATAGACCTGTGTGATTGAAACATACATCTTCCCTTTTAGGCAAGGCAAGGTCTATGTATTTAACACATTTCAGGCAATTCAAAGTGCTTCACACAAGACATCTAGAGCAGCATGACAAACGGAAATGTTCCCTTTTAGTCTCACAGGACTAAATGTTTTGTATCTGGTTGCCTCCTCTTTTCCATTTTGTTTGAATTAGTTATAATGAGTCTTTCTGAATTTCTCTGACTTGTTGATTATCAGTCAGTGCACAGTTGGGAAGCTGACAAGCTAACCCTAAGTCTTATAGTTGGTTCTGCAGCAAACATGACCCTCCACAGACTCCATAACAAGCCCCAGCTTTCCCTCCCAGTATGCTGAATTATGTTATTTAACCATACTAAAGCTGTTAAAAAGGAACTGATCTCTGCAGTGGGTTCCGAATTAGATTTTTATCAGGAAAATGTTATGTACCACAAAAAAAACTGAATTATGCATTACAAACAAACAACAATATATTTGAGGATCTGAAGAAGTCTTACATGGAGTAGACTTGGAGTTTTTCAGTTTACCCTCACATCCTGTGGTCCTTTTGTAAGATCTCTGTACAGAACTACTGTGTAACAATTCCAACCTTATTGTGGCTCTCCCAGGGTATGCTGATTGAAGGACCTCCAGGACCTGAGGGACCTGCTGTAAGTCAATTATTATTATTCCAGTGTTATTACTTTCAATAATCACAGATTCATCATTCAAGATGTTTCTTTAGAATACATTGCGACATTTTTTTTATTGATTCAAATAGTAAATAAAACAAAAAAGAAAACGAATCAACAAGAAGGAGGATAGAGAAGGAGTAAGGGGGAAAGCCATTATTATGATCTCCCCTGTTGTTTAACATTTATTCTCTGTGCCCTGAATTATTTCAGCATTTTTTGGCAGTGTTTATGTTAAATATTAGTTAGCACCTTAACCAGCTAGGTTGGACTATTAACATGATTTCTTGAATGTTAATGCTCACAGTGTTTATATTCAACCCCATAATCAAAGTCCAGCTGACACTGACATCAAAATACAGTATACTGTACCTACCCATTGAATCTTTAGTCAGAAATCTTAAAGAGTTCTTCCACAACCTCTTTCAGGGTCCATCTGGTCCCCCTGGCTCCTCTGGACCTCCTGGATCTATCGGTGATCCTGGCGAGAGGGTGAGTGTTTCATATTTGTGATGAAGTTACGATCAGAGAGACATCAGTATCGAATCTGTCCAAAGACAACGTTGAGACATTTTTGGTTCATAGCAGATGACACTGTGCAAGAGATGCATTCAGCTCAAATCTGTCTTTCTCCCTCCTGCAGGGTGTACCTGGTAGGGCTGGTCTGCCCGGAGCGGATGGAGTCCCTGGACCTCCTGGAACTTCTGTCATGCTGCCTGTGAGTCTCCCTTTGCTTTTCATCCTTTATAAGAAATAAAAACTCTCTGAATGGACATACTGGTCCTTACTAGTCACAGCTGCAGTTAATGAACCAACCATCATATTTTGATATTCATTTAAATAATCGTTCAGCAGCAGATATTGTGCATATATTATATGCAATGTATCCAACGGTTGCCCCCTCCAGTTAAGAAGGCAGAGTATCCTCTCACATTGCTTCAATGTTTTTTCTACTTTCTCGTTGCAGTTCCGCTTTGGACAGAGTGGAGGAGACAAGGGTCCCTCAGTGTCCGCACAAGAAGCCCAGGCAGCAGCCATCTTGTCTCAGGCGAGGGTCAGTCATCACTTTTACTTCACATTTCCTCTCTGTGTCACAGCAACTTGGTATTTTCAGAACTTTGAATCAAAAGAAGTTAAATTATATTGATGTTTGAAGGCATCAGCATCTCATCTCTTTTCAAACTTATGTCAAAATACACTTTACTTTCTAAAGTGAGTAAAAGAACAAAGAAGAAGATTACACACTTAACAGACACAAACTGAGCATCGCACAAACACAACGGACACCGAGTTCGCCTACAGTAAATATCTAACATGTAGCATCCTTTATGATTTACCTTCTTTTATTACTTCTCATACTTGTATTTGTTTTACAGCTCTTTTCTCCACTTAACGCTTTAACTGTTTATTTCTCGTCTCATTTTAAGCTTCTACCTTCTTTTTATTGTTTTTATCTTTTCTCATTGTTGTTGTTTTTTCTTATTTAATTGCTTTTTTCTTCACACATCTTTGGTCCGGTCAATTGTTCATTTATGTAGCTGGGTTCTGGTGATATTTGGCTTCATTATGTTTAGATTCTTAGTGTTCTTCTTCTCTGTTCTTATGTTCATCGTGTCTGTCAAAGCACTTTGTCAACCCCTCTTTTGAAAAGTAACAAATAATGTTATGGCTATATATTATTTTCCTCTATTTCATTTTGATTAAATGTTTTAATAGAGAGAGGTTAGTTGTGAGTATGAAAGGACATTTTCTTTTTCTTCATTCTTCATTCATGTCTTTGTCTCTAGATGGCTCTGAAAGGACCCCCTGGGCCGATGGGATTCACTGGACGCCCTGGACCCCTGGTACTTTATCTTCCATTCATACCCTAACCTCTTTATATCAGGAGTTTGTTGGTGTGATTTTCTGGATTTAAATTCTCAATCTTATGTGATTGTACACAGAACAGAAGAAATGTGGCTAACACATGGCGTTTGATGTTCTGTGCATGTTTGTCTTTTCTCATGCCTAGAGGGACTGGACGGATGAGCAGTTGTCAATAGTTAGTGATGATGGTGATGATTATTGCTTCTGTTTTAGGGCGACCCGGGAAGTAATGGCCTGAAGGGAGAAAGTGGAGACCCTGGTCCTCAGGTAAAAACTCTTACAGGGACAAAACCTCAACTGTAATCTCACATCACTACCAGACTTTTCAATCGTTTGTATGTCAAATGTGTAGTTACCCCTTCTTTACAGCGCAGTGCTGCGTATGTCATTACTGAGAGTATATATAATGCTGGATATCAAAAATATTTGCAAACATCTACTTACATTTTCAGGGTACAAGGGGACCCCCAGGTATGATGGGACCTCCAGGAAAAGCAGGAAGAAGAGTGAGTGATACCTTTTATTTTTTTATATGAAAGCTGAACATGACAAAAACAAAACTGGTCCCACTGTGTATCCAACTGTGTCCTATAAAAAGCTGCTTGTTGTCTAACAGGGTCGTGCTGGAGCTGATGGTGCCAGGGGAATGCCAGGAGAGTCTGGAACTAAGGTGACCTCTTTTTGACCTTTATTTATGGACATTGACAAAATGAACTCTTCAAGCATGTGATTTTGAGTCTCCTATATAAAAACTGATGTCATTTCAGTGTTTATTTATGAATAATGTGAGTCTGTAAATGCTCATAGTTACCTTTGCAGTGACTGTGTGAAATGATTAACACATTACCCATCAGACTCCACAGGAGCAGATAAATCCAGCTGTTACTTGGTCTCACTCTTCTCCAAAGTTTTTATTTAACATGTGTGCGTGTGTGTCTCAGGGTGACCGTGGTTTTGATGGCCTTCCTGGTTTGCCCGGTGACAAGGGACACAGGGTGAGTCAGAAACTTTTCATAATTGAAATGCTGCATAAACTTCATTTAGAATTATTAGAAGTAGTATGGCTGTGGCATTAGAAGTCGTAAAGATATGTATGAGAGTTTTTATTCTTGAATATCTGTTGATAAGCAGATCCATATAGTTTTTTTGGATTCCTAACTCATCCACTCTTTCATCCACCCAGGGCGATTCAGGGGCGTTGGGACCCCCAGGGCCTACCGGAGAGGATGGAGAGAGGGTATGAAGATATGAGAAGAACAATTTGAGATTATTCCAGCCACTATTAAGAGCGTCTGTTATTTTTTCAGTCCATAACTGTTAATACTCAGAATCTCATTATAATCAGCATTTTGTTACTGTGTGTTTTTTTTCAGGGAGACGATGGAGACATTGGGCCCAGGGGTCTCCCAGGTGAACCAGTGAGTGTTTCCATGACAACAAAGCAGATTTTTACAACAGCATACAGCAAATCAAATTCCTCTCAGTGTATCCATCCATAGCACTACTGTACTCATACCTGTAATAGTTGGGCCTCTCCTCTGTGATTATGTGCAGAGTAGTGATGGACAGGTCAAAGATTATAGATTAGATTTAGGACTTTGATCTCTTGTGTTTGGTGCATTAGCAGAAAATACCAACACACTGCAGACTGAACAGTAAAAGCTTGAAGGAAAGTGATATGTAGATGTAAACTTAAGATAAATTAACAACATGTCCTATCAGTCATCAAGCCCGGCGCAGTCTAGACCTGTGAAGGCTGTTTCATCATGAGCCGGGGATCCGGCCAAAGATTTCTGTCTTTTAATAAGACAGTTTTTTCTTACCACTGTAACTTTTGCTGCTTTGCTAAAGTGTTCATGATGGATAGGCCGGATCTTTGTAACATAACAATGAGTAAGGTCTTCTACCTGCTCTTTTGTAATGTTAACAGACAATGAGTAAGGTCTTTTACCTGCTTTCTGTAAAGTGTCTCAAGATAACACTTGTTATGAGTTGACGCTATACAAATAAAAATTGATTGATTGATTGATTGAAGATTAAATAGTCCAGATACGAAAAATCAAAATATTGCCAAAGCAATAAAATAACTTAAATACTAGGTTTTTATTTATTTATCAGAAATATGAATTACTGAGACAATAAATGACATTCTCTGATTGGCCACAATTACCTTTTAAGATTTATGCATATATTGAAAATGAGAAACAAAAAGATACAAATGAAATATCAAGATTTACCTCCTCTGAAGAACGTGTAATAAGAAACTTTTCTGCCAAGTAGAATAAAATGCACTGACTTTCATGAGATCTTTTCATTCTGGAGTTCAACTTAAGGTGTTTGAATGTGCATTTTAGGACTGTTTCTTACTGACTGATCTCGGCTTGTCTGTGTGTGTCTGTAGGGACCTCGTGGTTTGCTGGGACCTAAAGGTCCTCCTGGAATCCCCGGACCCCCTGTGAGTAAAAACGATCACAAACCACATTGTTTTGCATGTTTTTAATTGCATTGTGTTATTTCTCTTGGATTTATGAGCCCCCCCCAGAAGCAACACCCTGTGACCTGATGTAAAAAACAAGGATTTCCAAAATCTAAAAATGTATATTTCATGTCCCCACAGTCACCTCAAAAACAATAACAAGTCACACAGTGTCCCCCAGGATCATGGCAACCACAAGTCACACTTGTATATTTTTATGTGCTAGAGTTGTTCGACTATGGTAGTTACACTCTGTCATTACAAAGGACTCCACCATCAACAGCAACACACAGGACATTTTTCAATGGATTAAAACGACTCAAGTAGAAGAGAAATGTCTTCTTTTTGCTTCCACACATTCTCTTTCCCCGTCATGATGCAACTCAACCACCTCCAGTTTGATCAGAGATTCAGGTGTGCTATGCTAGTAGTCTGGAGCTGATGCTAGCCTCATGCAGAGACGATTAGCAGTCATTGAAGGATATAATAAAATCCTTTTGCCTGACCTCTCCTTTCTAACGTCACACCGCAAGAGTTTCTTTTTTTAACTTTAAGATCTTCAGCAATAACCAACCTCCCTCGAGGCCATTTTAAATACTTTATACATCTCACTCTGGAGCTGTTGTATGATACTACCTACAGCTTTTATTCCAAGACCATAAACAATTGAAAATGTATGACTAAAAACTAGGAGCTCAAGTGTCTCCTGATTTCCACACATTTTACGACACACTTCATACTTAACAGTGACTGGCTTTGAGCAAGGCACTAGCAAGAATAAATTCAGTTCCCACTGCAAATAATCATATTTGTTTGGATAAAAGCCATCACCAAAGTTAGATGATCATCAGTATAGACGACTGTGTTTATATTATTTGTGTCACTTGAATTGCTGATCGATTTCTTTGTTCATCCTCTCTACTTCTCAGGGTGTACGTGGAAATGATGGACCCCATGGTCCCAAGGGAAACCTGGTCAGTACCCCTATAACTTTTCAACCATCTTATCATGTAAACTTCTGAGTCAGCAGATAATCAGTATCAGAAAATTAAATCTTAGTCATTTTTAGAATATGGCTCTCGTGTTCTCATCCATCCTTCACTATTTCCTGCTGTCTGCATCTCATCTGTGAATCTGTCTTCCTCTATTTCTTATTCTTAGGGTCCTCAAGGAGAGCCAGGACCCCCAGGTCAGCAGGGAACCCCAGGAACTCAGGTGAGACACACGACAGCTGACTGGTATCATACTCTCTTATCACAATCTTCTATGACTAAGTTATTGTGTGCTAAAGAGTCCAGACAGGCATGCACAGTCCCAAAGAATTAAATACAAGTCTATGCATCCTTTGAGAGAATGAGTCTCATTTGTTTATTGTTCTGAATATTTACAGGGAATGCCAGGACCTCAAGGAGCACTTGGACCACCAGGAGAGAAAGTAAGAACAAAAAAACTCTTTCTTTATACTGTAGCTATGCACGATACAGGAGGCTAACTTGTTTAGGAAACAAGCAACGGTTTAACAATAGAGTAAACATTAAGAACCTACGTAAGACATGATAAACCCTCTTCAATCATGATGAGATCCTGCATGGAAATCTAAAAAAGGTAAGAGGTCCACAAGATCCTTTGAGAAAGACCAGATTGTTCAATGTGGTTTGGAGATGAAATTAAGTCTTTTGGGAGCATTTTTAATCTTCAGTTAGTTGCAGTTGTACAAATGATCAATGCATCAGTGTACAGTCAAAAATATTACAGATGAAAACTTGTGGAATAAAGGTTTGGGAGGGACTAAATGTGGCCTGGACTACAATTACTTTTATTGGTATTGATATTTGTTCCCACCAACGTTACATTTACTTCCAGAAAGAAAAAGTAATGTGTTTAAAGAATCAGAATTATTTACAAATTAAGCGGCATTGGGTTCCTTGAAAGGCGCTATATTAATCCAAGTCATTATTATAATTATTATTATTATTATTATTATTATTATTATTATTATTATTATTATTATTATTATTATTATTATTACAATATTTACAAGGTTACACAAACCTGACGTTGTCATTTAACACACAATCCCTCTACTGGACGGTCACGATTGGAAGTAAGTAATCTTGCACCATCAGCTCCCGTCCAATCACTCACATGAACGCAGAACCAGCTCTCGTCCAATCATTGGCCGGCTCGTACCGTCAGCTCTTGTCCAATCACTAGCAGGCACCTGCAGCACAGCACACAGAGGGAGACACATACAACCAAGAAAACAACCTTTTAAAGACTTCTTTACAACACTCCTCCTGCAGTAATGATGACAGCTCAAGCCTTCTCTCCCTGACGCAGAACGAAAGTGGAACCAGCAATTTAACCATTTTTGGTCATTTAGTCTAAATGTATGTACCTGATCACTGAAAACCATTAATGATCCTTAAGAGGGTAACCTGATCTGAGTATGATTAAGAGTTCATTCATATGTTGATGAAGGAGGATCATTTTTCATACAGCAGCTACACAGTTTTCAGAACATGTTATCCTTCTTGTGGTGTTTTCTGTAAGACACTAAAAGTTTAAGGTGCAAAACCACCATCAGACCCCCTCCCCTTCCCCCTGGACTCTCAGTTCTGACCCCATGTCCTCTCCTCAGGGTCCCACAGGAAAACCAGGTCTGCCAGGAATGCCTGGAGCTGATGGCCCTCCTGTAAGTTTATCTCTTCTGTCTTTATTTTGAATTAACATAAATCTGCGTTAAGTTGAATCCATCATCGCTTCCTGAGGCTTGAACTTTTTCTCTCTTCTCAGGGTCACCCAGGAAAGGAGGGGCCTTCTGGCACCAAAGGAAACCAGGTAGGTGTCCATCATAAATAGCTGCATTACACCACAACACTTCCATTTAACAAAGTCAATTCACCAATTAAATACAACTTCAGAGAAACATGTGACTTCTATTTTATTGAAAGATATTGAATATTTATAGTTAATCTGTTGAATTGGGAACATTGAGCATGTCGTTGTAGCTGTGCCTGTAAGACGTTACCGTGTGGTGTTTATTGTGTTACAACTTGGACTTCTTTCATTGACCTTCTCCAGGGTCCAAACGGTCCTCAGGGATCTATCGGCTATCCTGGTCCTCGTGGCGTCAAGGTGAGTGAATAAATAACAGATAACAGGTATTAAAATTGTGTGCTCTATATAATCTCTATAACTTCTACTTT